TTTTTTTAATGTTGCCATCCTCAAGTTGTCTTGCTCCCAGCAGTGTGAGATTTTTGGCTCAGTCCCTGTACAAGAGCCAAGTTTGAGCCTTCCTGGGATGCTTCAAGAAGGGCTGACACAGAGCAGCTCCCAATGTCTGCTGATGATGCTGCCACACTGCTTTGCCTTCACAGCCCAGGGCAAAGCTTTTTAAAACTAAATTATTCTCACAAGGAATTCTACACTATCTCTTTTTTTATATTTTTTTTCTCTCTGTTTCTTTCCCCTCGTTGCCCCCCAAATCTGGTGTTGGGTGATAGAGGGTGAGATTATGCACATTCTGCACACTCCTGTTAACTCTGTCCCTGCATCCTGCATCAGACCCTTGCCAAGGAGAGATTGAGTCAGCAGCAATTTGGCACTTTGGAGGTGAGTTCCCTGCAGACAACAGGAGATGATGAAATGCATCCCTGCATTTAAAATTCTTACATTTTAAAGTGGATTGCATTTAAGGTTGTACTCACTCAGCTGCTTTTAAAACAAAGATCTCTTTTCTTTTGCTTCATGCTTTTGTTGTTTAAAGAATGTCTCCTCTGTTGTTTGTCTTATCTGTGACTCATTTTTAGCGGGATTCCCTTTCCAGTATAGAACTGAAAATTTGTGTTTTGTATGAAGGAATCACAGGATCATTGAGGTTGGAAAAGCCCTCCCAGGCCACTGAGTCCTACCTGTGCCACRTCCAGGCTTTCCTTGGACAGCTCCAGAGATGGGGACTCCAAAGCTGCCTGGAGAGCCCCTTCCATGGCCTGACCACTCTGCCCATGCAGAAATTCCTCCTGATGTCCACCCTGAGCCTCTCCTGGCACAGACTGAGGCCATTTCTTCTTAGTCTGTCCCTGTTCCCTGGGAGCAGAGCCCAATTCCTGTCCCTGTGAGCCATTTGGAGAAAGAAAAAAAAAAAAAAAAAAAAAAAAAACAACCCAAAAACCCTGAAAATCTGAGAATGAGAGTCCACTTATCCTGATGAGATAACTGACCTTAGTCTAGCAATCCCTAGTCAGGAAGGATCCTAAACCCTCAGCAGTTCCCAAGCTCAGGCTGTGAGAACCACAAAGCAGTGGGAAAATCGGGGTTGGTGTTTGCATCCAGCAAACGTGGCTGAGCTTGGTTCTTCCAGAGAGATTCCACAGCTCACCCTTGAGCTGATAGCTGCATATTCCAAGGGCTTTAGGCAGCCTTTTGATGCCCAGTGGCCTCCTGCTGGTGCCTTTGGTTTCCAAGAACTCCTGGTGACTGAAGGACCTGATCTTACAGCCTGCAAATGTCTGTAAATGATGTWGCTTACTATGGGTTTACATGGAAACCAGGAAAATCATTTAGCATCTGTCTTGATTTTCATTTGTTCATGATTTTAATGATGCCAGTTGGACTAAAGTTCATCTTGTCCTGTGTGGGAGATGGAATACAAATCAAATAGGGAGTTAAATCTGTTGTATGGATATTTACTGCAAAAGAAAAGAGTGCATAATAAAGAGGTTGCTCTGAATATTTACCTTCAGCTGTGGATCACTGGCTATACTGACCTTTCTTTTACACTGAATTTGCCATTTGGAGCTCTGCTGTGAAGCATTTGTGGTCTTTCTATCAAAGAAAAAAATTAAATTAAAACCAGTGGCTTGTGGCCAAGGGTTGATTTTCATTTGTTCTTCTGACACTCCTTTCGTATTTAATCTTTTTTTCAGCAGTCTTGTCTGTCTTCATCTTATGGGAACATCCATGGGGTGAAGTCTTTTCTAGAACAAAGCAAGCAGAAAGTACCTGTGGTTWAATGTTCTGAAAGAGCAGAGTTAGCAGTGTTCACGTTTCTGTTTGAGTCTGAAAATCTCATTGTTTGCCTGAAGATTATGCTGCTGCTGCTATGACCCTGCTCCAACTGAAATTACTCTGTCTCTTTTCATCTTCCTCTGGATGATGGGGCAGACAATTATGGAGAGGGCAAGCTTTGTCTTGAAGCAGGTAATAAATAACCAACTCCATCAACTTACAGTTTGGATCAACTTGTCTGGCTGGAATTACTGCAATTTAACACATTGCAGGGTAATGAAATAATAAACTATCATCAAAAAAATTCAAATCTCGTGTGCCATAGTGTTTTGAATTTGGGGTGTGTTTTTATAAAAAGGCAACTTTGAGATGCAGTGCCTATRAATCTGGATTTTTGCAAGGAGCAGTTTTAGATTCAGAGTTTAGGAGTGTTAAAAGATCTTTGCTTCTGAGGCTACGGAGTTTGTGTGTGATAAAACGTGTTTGGAGATTGATTTTAAAAGCTGCTGTCACTTGGTGGAAAATTCACCTGTTCCATTAAAAGAAGGTGTGGATAGATGGAAGCAGGCACCGTAATTGGGCTGACAGAGATGGCAAAGCACTGCCATGCCTAATTAAACCTGTGACAAATAAATGGCTTTTGTGAGAGCTTGGAGAAAAGGGTTTGCTTTTGGCACCAACTTCCTCATCTTTGGACAGAGTTTAGGGCTGCTGTGCAGACTCCAGGGAGCTTCAGGCATTCCTGGCTGCTGGAAAAGAGGTATTTGCATTGTTGCTGTTTGAAAAACAAAATGGATGGCAGTAAGAAAYTGGAAGAACTTCCATAAATTCCTTTTTATTTCAMATGCAATGATGCCAGCTGGCAAATTACTTCCTTAGATGGGCACCTAGAGAAAACAGAACTTTTTAGCAGCTCTGCACGAGAGTTGTGATTGAAGCCACACACAACACGTGCCCCCTGCTGCTGTTCTTCCAAATCACTGAAATCACTCAAAAATGGTCCAGCAGGGCAGGTTTGGGTTCCTTTGCCCAGGAGTGGGGAATGCTGCAGTCTGTCCCACAACTGAGCTGTGCCACTGCAGGGGACACAGAGGGACAGACCTGCCCAAGGCATTTCTAACCAACCCTTATTGGAGTGGAAATGCTTTATTTTCATACTTGATCATGGAACAGATGTCAGGCTTCCTTTCAATCATAATTACAGGATTAATGCTTGAGTGGGGTCTGCAGGGCTAGGCCCTGGGGTTTCCCTACAGACTGCAACTGCACTTGCTGGAATATGGGGGTCTTCCCCTCTGGTTTCAGGTGTTTTTCTGCCTCTGTACTGAAAAAAACCAACAAAACCAAACAAAAAAAGTCTTAAAATATGGATCCTGTGGCAGCCAAGTTCCACAGACAGCCACAATCCCAGCTCYCCCACCCAGGAGTTAAATACTCTGTTAAACCTTCTGTTGTATTGGCCATACTGTGTGGGGAATGTGACTAATTTGGGGTGATTAATGCACATTTGGAACAGGAGTGGCWGCTGGAGTCTGTCCCAGGATCTGCCTCATCTCAAGTGTCTTACCTGGGTGCTGAAGAACTGCTTTTGTTTTAGTCCAGCTACAAACCCTCAACTTCTCAGTCCCTTTTTGGAGCTCAGCAATTTTTTGCTGGCATCTGAGCCAGCAAAGAGCTTTTAATACCATTGGGTTAGACAGCACGTGCCAAGTGAAGAGCAAATTTTAACATCCAAGCAAAACAAAATCCAGTTGATCAACCCAAAATGGGTTTTGCTTTCCTAATCTGTGAATTTGCCTGGTGAGCAGCAGGCAAACCAGCTGAGTTCAGGCTTTCTTACGCCGTGCTCAGGTTTGTTTTCCCAGATTTCCAGGGTCTGACAGCTTGCACCTCGTGTGTTTTGTTTTTGCAGACGTTGCCACCTCTGTAGGGTGAACTCTGTTTGCAGGGTGGCTGTTCCCAGCCAGCTGAGGGATGTTTCATAAATATCCTGCTCTCAAACTTCTGCTGGGAGCTGTAATAGCAGATCCAAAGGATTAAAAGCTGTTTTGACCTCTCCTTTCTCGAGCTCCTCCTCATCCCAGGAGCTCTGTCTGGTTAAACAAAGAAACCCTTCCCACCTCTTCCCTCCAGCAGTTGCAAACAGGAGTGGCAGATGTTTTTCTCAAAGATACATATTAAAAACTCTYGTAATTAGTCTGCAGCAGTTAATTCTTGTGATATGTACCAATGTCTGGTTCAGATCTTTTCTCAGGGTCTGTGGTTTTGTTTTTCATAGTTCATGGTATTTTTCTTGTCCAGTATCTTGTTTTCTCACAAAAGTTTTACATTACTATTTTGACTACTTTTTTTCCCACATATTAGATCATCAAACTCTTCTTTCTTGCTGGTAATGAAAATAATCTCCAGTAATCTCTTMATACAATATCAATTTAAAAAATAGAAATATTACCTTATATTGTTATAGATGTCATAGGTGGAAGTTTTGCAACATGTATGAAATTATGTTCATGGTTGTTCTGAGACTTCATTTTTTTAGCAACTGAAGTTGCTAAAAAGATAGAGTGTGTGGAGTCTAAATCTGGATTTAATTTAGGTTTGGAATGTGCTTTTGGCTTGTTTTTGGTGGCCCTGAGATCTCATGACCTGTCCTTGCAAGGATATGAAAATACTTCAGCATCAGCTATTCTTGCATGATTTTGATGGACTTTTAAATGGGAACTGGACAGCACAGAGCCTTCCTGGGCTCAGGATCTTTCAAGGAATCCAAGGGCAGGGTGTGTGGGTTCATCCCCGGCCGTTCCCTGCCCTGCACCTCCCACGCTGCCTGGCTGGGCTGCTGCTCTGGCTGCGGGTGGGAGCCGTGCTCCTTCCACCATTTCACACTGAAATCCTGGGTTTGGGCTCTGAAATAACCCCTGCTGTTCCTTGGTGCTTTTTTTCCTTGAGAAAACACAGTTGTGGTGCCTTTTTTGCACTCATGCATTTGTTGTATCAGTGTGTCCTGTCACATTGAGGGAGGGGGAGCTGGACAGGAGGAATGCCACGAGCAGAATTCCATGGAGATGCTCTGCTTCTGGGCTCTTTTTGGGTTCCACCACAAATCCGCAGCCCTAAGGCTCTTGGTGGGATTCAGGGTGATTTGTTGTCCCTTTCTTTCCCTTTGCAATGAGCTCCAAGAGCTGTCTGGGAGAACCTCAGATCCTTGTGAGGATAAAATGCAGCGTTCTGGGACCTGTTTGGTGACCAGTGATGCTCAGTGTGGGCACCAGAAGATGAGTGCAGCGCTTTCCCATATCCTCTCCTGCTCTGTAATTAATTTCTGCCGGTCTGTTGCTGGGATCAGCATTCCCAGGTTCCTCAGAGCGCCCTGCAGAAGCCTCAGCTGGGTTTCTGGGAAGCGGCTCTTCCAGAAGCGCCAGCTCGCTGACAGCAGGATTTGATAACCCTGTACAAACGGGCAGAGTGCTCTCTGTAGCAGGGCGTGCTCCKGAATTGCTGGAGTCCCGGGAATGGCACAGTGGGAACCAGCCCGGGGATGTGCTGGTGCTGGGAGCGCTGGGATGGCGAGGACAGGGTGCTCCTTTTCCAGCAGATCGGTGTCCAGAGCCTCACCCAGCCAATGTCCAGAGCTGGCTGTGCCAGAGCTGCTGCCCTGCAGAGGGAAATGTCGGGAGCGCTCTGTTGGCCATGGCGAGGGCTCAGCTTTGCTGTCACACGAGTCCGGCTGGCGGCGGCTCCTGGTGGCTCAGTGAGTCACTTGGGGAGAAAGAATTCTGTGCAGCCCCGTTCCGTGCGAGCAGTAAACAGGAAACAGAGTGACGGATGTGCCCGCACCGATCGCCGGCACATCGGGTGGCACCGTGCATGTGTCCCCATCCTCCAGCGAGCGGAGGGACCTACGGCAGCCTCGGCAACACTTTCTCCTCGTCACTCGTGCGTGTTTCAGTGCGGCTTCTGAGCCACTTTGCCAGCTGCTGAGTGACGGCGTGCTTTAATTCGAAACGCACGTTTCTGCTTTTAGAAAGTGTTTTTTTTGTTCTCGAGACTTTTTTTGTTGTTTTCCTGTAGTTTGTTTGGTTTTTATTGTTTCCCTGTAGTTTTTTCTGAGGGAAACGGAAAAGGTTTAGGGTTAGAGCAGGGTGGGAGAGAAGCAGGGCTCTCCTCCATCGCCCGTGCTCGCCTGTCCCGCCGCGTTCCCGGCGCTCCCGGGACTCGAACCCGTGTCCCTCGCTCCTCCCCGGCTCCTCCCCCGGGGCGGGGCCCGGCCCGCGCGCTCCCTACCTGCGAGGATGTGACGTCATTGCCTCATTACCCTAATGGCGCTGACGTCACGGCGGCGGCGGCCAATGGGTGCGGGCGGCGCTCCCCACCTGCTCGCAGCAGCATTCCCTCATTCCTGGGATTCCTCGGCGGGCCCGCGCACCCAGCGCGGCTCAGGG